TAGAATCTCATATCACATAATTAAATCGCGCGCTGATTGGTCCGAGATGACGAAAATGTGACGTACATAGTGAAGGATTCAGCGCGGAATCCAACGCTTCAAAGCTGAATTCAATGAAAAATCAGGGATCCCGCGCGATTGAATTTCGATTTTGTCGTATTTTCTTTCCATTTCTTTCACAAATAACAATTTAAAGTAACAAGAATAGAAGCTCTTTTCATAGAGAAATCAAAAATGATATACAGGATTTGTTATAATATCGCTGTTCTATAAAAACCACCAATATTTGTTAGCGGATTGAAAAGCTGAATTCAATGAAAAGTCAGGAAGCCCGCGCTTTGTTGTTTTTTACTTGCTTCACTTTTTAAGCTACTGTTATTTCACATGTCCAGTTTCAAATTTCCAAAACAACCAGAGGGGGAATACGAAATAGCAAACTTCGAAGTCAATTTATTCAACATCGAAAAGAGCCGCAAAAAACATCTTTCACTTGTCTCTACAAGGCGACGTCGTCTCGATAAAAAACAACAACAAACGTCGGAAAACACCGCAATGGCCGAAGAAAACAACAATTATCGCTTACTACTTACCTATAAGCTTATGTAGTAATCATTGTAAAACCAACTACTAGCAAATACAAATGTATTGTAGTATTTTTCAGTGTCTTTTCTTCGCTTGTGGATCCCCTTTTGACCAGCTATAATCACAGCGAATAACATATCTTCGCTTGTTTTCGATAATGTAGCCTGCGTAGCGGCCCTAAGGAGATTGGGGAGGGCCGGCCGAGCGGGGAGTGGGGAGGAAAATTGTGATGTAAAATACATCGATTTTTAGCGCCAACAGTCCATAATTAGCTTTCTAACCGTAGTAAATAAGACGTTTTGTTAACACCGGATTGAAAAACAGTAAACTTACCAACTAACTTAGTGAATGAAATGATGAAACGTTCACTAACAGATAAATTTGTGATCGTTTCCTATTGGCTAATCATATAATCAGCTACGAAATGGCTTCCGAAGGGCGCGTGAAGAGGTTCACGTTGTCGAAAAATTTTCCAATTGTAAATAATGTGTTGGTATGAGATTCAAGAAAAATTCATTAGATGACTCGGGAATTCCGCAATGAATTTCACTCGAGAAAACGATATCGCACTCGTCGCTTCGCGACTCGTGCGATATGAATTTTCCTATAGAAGCTAAAAGTTATATGTTGGATACTTAAATGGAGTTTATATAATTTGGTACAAAGCGTTTTCTTTTTTTCCTTTTTGTCAACTGAAAAATAAGCTTTTAAGGTTGTAAATCAGATTTGATGTAAATATGATGTAAGTGTCCAAAATTTTGTAAATCTGATGTAAATGATTTCCATTCAATTTACAGAATTTTCTACACTTACATCACATTATCATCAAATTTTCAACCTTTAAGGCGCGCGTTTTTTTCCGGTGATCAGGGCCGTAACTTTTGTGGATACCAATTTAATTGTCACATGAATTAATATGATGTCAATATAATGTCATATCAATCTATGGCTTTCGCGCAAAAGAATCGTGATCGATAGAGGAGAAAAAAAACATTCGTTGCTCGAACTCTATTTCTCAGTTTTCAGAACTCTGTTTGTCCTGTGACAAACAAAACAAACAAACAAACACAAGCTTGTTCGTGTTCTTTTCTTCATTAATGCAGCAAGACATCGAAATGTCCATAACAGTTTATTGCTGAAATTACTCAAAAAATTAAGGGTATAGAAATGAAACGTTGTATACCATCAATCTAACATAGGATCCTAAATAGCTCTTTAGTGTGTCTAACCAATTATTCATGAGATTGAATTGAAGGTTTAAACGTTGTGAACATTACGTAATGTCCACAACTAAAATTCAATCATCCTTCTTGTAGCAGAACCACTAGCCACCCATGCCACCCACGATTTGCTTGCTTCCTCCAGCCCTCAAAGTTTTGTTTCGAAGAACACACATACATCCTTCTTAAAGCTCTTTGGATGCCAAGAACATTGTTTTTGGAGTTGGAATGATTGTTATGTTATGGCGAATTAGTTGTCCAAGATTGTAAGTCGTTACAAAACTGGCAGCTCGTTCAACGTATGCAGGCTGAAGTACTCCACATTTCAAATGAAGGAAGCCTCGCTAAACAGTAACTACCCAACAACAATCGATGTTCGCAGTGCTCTCTCAGGTAATGTTCTACGAAGATACCCAACAATGCAACTGACAACCTACTAATTGATATAGACACTTCAATATAACCAAGAACTTTTCCAAGTTTCCTGGAATCGGGGAAGAGGTCAGCTACCAAAGTATAGCAGTGGACGGAAGCGCACCCTGCAGCTACCCCCAGGGTAAAGCATAACATAAAAATGATATAGACGTTGTCTATATAGTGAAACCATGAAACAGAGAGAAACACCAGCGTGTGGCAAACAAGCAACAGAACCAAGATCCAAATACGACGAAKCTTAATGGTATCCATGAAACCAGGACAGAAAAAGGACACCAGTGATGATTCCATTCCTCCGACCATTATACCTAGATCACTCAGTAATACGTAATACTGAAAATGATCCCGTGGGGGGAAGGGAGAGGATTTAAATGTCACAGTAGAAAGAATGGAAGCAAACGAGATCTTAATCAGAAAAACGTTCATGCCAATAATGTAACAGGCATAAAATTCATTGAATAGGTGTTTGATATGCCATCCAACGCCTGGTCGTTCGCTCTTGTTTACACTGTGAGTAACAGGTGGTATGTTGCTTTCTTCATTGCCCAAAGTGATGTACTCAATTGTGTTTTTGTTGGCATCCAATCTTTTCTTGTCCAGCAACGCATATATCAAGAGTGGTAGCAGAGAAAGTGGAGTCAACATGGCAATGGTAATACGAGGAGATATACATGCCCATGTTGTAAATCCTAAAAATGAAACGAAGAAAAAAATGTATTTATTTCAGTTCATTTCACAATTAATTATGATTTCTGGGACTGCGCAATATTTATCAGGTTGAGGAATGAGCCAAAATCTCAAAAAACGTCTTATACTACACCCTCTTAAACGTTGATTTCTCCGATTTTTCAGTAAATTTTAGACGTTGCCCCCTCTTTAAGGACATAAGAATCGATTTTGCGCAGTCCCTAATTATAAATTTAAGAATTTTAGTAAGAAATATTGTTATAATAATTTTTCCCATTTTGTGTCAAAGTTTATACTCAAAGTACCAATAAAAATACCCTCTTCAATTCCTAAAGTTTGCACAAGAGTTGGTGGTTACACGATTTTCACAATGAAAATATTCGCTTTCACGCGCTCAAACGGAACGCGCGCGCTAAATATAAATACAATTTGACGCGCGCGTTCCGCTTGAGTTCGTGAAAGCGAGTATTTTGAATTTGAAAATCTTGAAATTTAGAAAATCCTTTGTAATCTGACACATAGAAATTTCAAATAAATAATTTTTCTCAGGAGTGGAAAAAGTTCTAAAATTGTTTCCCAGAAACTCAACATTTTTTAACTAAAAGAACGTTTTCGAAGATCCAGGTTCCTTAATGTATGTAAAAGAGCACTATTACATCGTGGAGGGAAGAGTTTTGTCCCATTAGCCATTATGTAGGAAAGTTCTACAATTGCTTGGCAGAATAATCCTAGCTCATAATCCCATTCCCTGCAGCAAAACCATATAGCAACATGCAGCAGATTGCCGGCCGATCTGTGATTCGGTGCGCCTTCACAGCATTTTCACATTCATATTTAATCTCAACAATGGCATCAATACAGAGCTTTAGCACACACAATAGTGGCTTGTGTTCCTTTTTTTCTTAGAAAGGAGAACCCGGAGCTACATACCAGTATATGAGATCGAAG